TCATTAAGCATTCGGCAATGATTCCAAGTTTCTCCCCCTCTTCTTACGACTCTAGAGAATTGTGTGTTGTAGTGAAGTCAGTCTCGTAAAGAACAAATTCTTGTGATCTAATCACTAGTAAATTTATTTGGTTTGTATTCATTTCATGGTTTACAAGAGCCTGATTTTATAGCCAAATCAAACTAAGACACAGCCTTCCATTACAGTGATTGCTTTGCCTCTCAGCAGAACCCTCTGCTTCTCTTTGTCCAGATGAACCTTGAGCGTTCCGCCTCTGCTTGAAGCCTAAACCGATTTCAGGGAAAAAAAAAACCAAATCTTTCTTCAGGAACTAATACGCATAACGTCAAAATTTGTCTCAAGTGTTTGCGTTATGAGAGAGAGAGAGAGTACCTGGTAGGCTAAGAAATCACATTTGTTCATCTTCAGGCTCCAGTAATGTGCTAAGGCACAATGCGCACTTCCAGTGACAGGGTCCTGAAAGCAAAAGGTGTAATGTTTTTGTTTTGATCATATGCTCTTAATCTAAAAGCAAAGACTATATGATGATAGCTAAAGAGACTTTTTGTCACGGTTTGTGTCCCTGGAAACCACATTCAGCGACTAGTTACCTACCTCGTTAATTCCTGCTTGAGGGGCGAAGTAGCGACTACAGAAATCATATGAAGATGCTGAAGAAGCAGCAGCGGTCACAAGCAATCCTTGGCAAGGCAATTTCATTATCTCATCTATTCTTGGCTGCAATTCAATAACGGATTCCCAAGATGGAAGCACAGCCTACGATCAATCGAAAAAGGATCAAATATTTGGTTCCAACGACGCAATATCTAAAAAAGAAAGAGAAACAAATGGAGACACTTTACAAGGATGTCATTCTTTGTGGCTTTGACATCAACAATGGTAGCTCCATTCAATGCTTTGGAGAACACAGAGAGATCATCGATGGAGTTGATATCACAAGTTGGAACAACGGGGAAATCCAATTCGATCAAGAAGGTTGATTCATCTTCTTCTTCACCATGTTTGAGCTCTGAAGTGGTTAATGGAACCCGTTTCGCTGTTAGAATCCCTGATAATGTGACAAACTCAACTACCTCTGAATCAACTAAACCGTTTGAGAAGAGAGTGTGAGCAGATGCTAAAGTTGCATGACCACACAGATCCACCTTCCAAAAAAACAAGAGAATCTCATTCAAAACTTATAGCCAAGAGATTCACAAGCTCTCAATCTTCAGGAACTCGAAACATTTAAGTCAATGACAACGTCAACTTAACAATCTGAAATCGAAAATCGGGAAACTATAGCAGCGATTAGCGAACCTCAGTGACTGGAGTGAACCAC